GATGACACAAAAGCGGCTGTTTGAGGATCTTGGTATTGGTTACATGGGTATTTTATTCTGTACAAAGTCATCAAGCTGAATCTTTGTGTTGGCAAATTTTCTTTGTGGTTTTTTTCAGTAAGCGAAGTTTAATAAAATAATTTTTGGTTAACTATGCTAAGGGAAAGATTATTATCTGACTACATTATCCCTCTATCATCTCTTAAAAATGATATTAGAAATTTGTGGACAGATAAAGTAGCAATATGAATGCAGCCAAACATACATAGCTAATAATTATGAATAAAAGCATTTTCAAGGCACAATAATTCATTTATTGATTAAAATATTATGATGTTTAGTGAATTTCGTAATGTGCCATTGGTCTACTTTTAAAATTTAGTGATTTGTTTTTATTTCTTATGATAGATATTCATTTTTACAACCACTTTTCCATTTTTAATTTTGTATCTTTTTTCAAAGAAGTCCCTTCAAATTGTATAAGCTTCAGATAAAATGCATCATGGATCTGTCCCTATCTGTATCAACTTCCTTAAACCAGTGGTTAAAGAGACAGAAAGGTATAGCCGGAAAGTGGGATGTTGGACTTCAAAATTTTTGAGATGCAGCTATGCTAAATGTGATTAAGATCTCATCTATGTCTTGTATTGCTCTGTGGAGATAGCAGAAGTGGAGGGAGAGGGTAAGTCGCTGCCATGAATAAGTCCAGAATTGAAGAACTTCTTTTTTAATGATCATTCTAGATTTTGCACTTCCCTAGATTTAGATGTGTAAGTCTTGATGGGATTCCATCTAGAAGAGTTAAAGCTAATGATCTTAAGCACAGTCTTAACCCTTGAATACAATGAGACTGCGTAACTTGGGAACATAGTAGATGACGAAGACAAGAAAGGCTCAAGAGTTTTTAGTATGACTAGCTGAGCCCCAAAGTGGATGAACGTCCAGAAATGTTGAAAAAGTAACAGTCTGGAAATGATAGGGTTAACTAACCTTATTTACTTCATGCTAATTCCTCCGGTAAGGCTCAGGTATATAGCACCTAATACATACCTTTGTCACTGTACTCACTGTGGTATCTGATTAGCTTCTCTGTTTCCCCTCATAGACTCTGAACTTCTTGGGAGAACAAATGAATGAAAAGTTCACTGGGTTTGTTTGTTTACATAAAATAAGCTCTGTCAGGACCCTAGTATTTAACCACTTTATCTTAATGCCTATTATATATTATAGACACTTTCTCGATGTTTGTTGCATTAAGCATGAAAAACTGCCTAATAAAACTTATTACTTTTTACAGTTTGTCTCTCTTTACTACTCCGTATTCCTATAAGTACCACTTTTCCTTAATATCGATTTCCACCATTAGCTACTAAGATTTTCTTCTCCTCTAGAGATATGCCATCAAATTTGTGAGCATGTCCTGGAATTTTTTAAAATGGAGATACAATGATCCAGCTCGCTTGGATTAATTTCATTTTTAATCTGTACTTTGAAATTTATTGTCCTCATTTTTATGATTGCCTTTCTAAATTTTTTACTGACTCAGATTAATCTCAACTTTCTAGGCTGACCTTAACGTTGTCACTTGCATGGATAGGGTAGCTTTCTAGATGTCAATATTTCATTTTAGGAATAAGAAATAATAGTGATTTAGTATAGGTAAATTCCATCTCATAGCAAAATAAATGCTTTTATTTAAGGTCAATAATCCATTTACGCTGAAAGCATTATGATTTTTTTGTTTGTTTGTTTGAATGTGACCTCTAATTCTTCAACTTTCGGACAGTTATTACAGACATGGTCCCACTCATGGACCAAAATCAGTTTTTGTGGATGACTTTAAATCATAATTTGTTTTGGGGAAGTAGATATTCTAAGCTCAAATCTTCCATAAGCTGGCTAAGTACTTGGCATGCATTCCTTTACCATAACTCAGATTCAGGAAACAGAAGTTAACATTGGTTGAGCATTCTCTGTAAGTCAAGCCCAGTGCTGATCCCATTATAAGAAAACATTACTATATCTAATTTATTCTCCTTAATGATCTCATAATTTTAAGTGCTAATTATTTCAGCTTTTAAAATAAAGAAAAGGAGGCTTAGAGAAATTAAGTAACCTGTCCATGTGTAGCCGGTAAGTGGCAAAGCCAGGATTCAAACTCTGATTTTGGGGAGCTTTCGTGATCTTTCATTGCACCACACTGCTTTGGTGTTCCCATTTGTCATGAAATGAAAAGAATTCATGTCAAAATACTGAAAAGCAGTCACAGAGTTTACATCTTCTCAAAAAAAGCGGTCACATACCAATTCAAGAAACTGTTTTCTATATTATTAAGTTCTAGCTAAAGGCTACTGCTTCAGTGAAGTCTTCTCCACTCTGATTCACACCATCTTTTCTTTTTCTGAATTCCTGCCAGGCTTTTCATTTACTTCACTCGGTTAGTACATGATAGTGTCTCATCTCTTTGTTCTCTTATGTGTGTTTTGATTTCCTTAAAAGCCCATCATTTGCCCAAGGCACTCGATTTATGCTTCCTTTATGTCCATTATAAAGCTTAGCCCAGAACTAGGATCATAGCATAACTGGAATCAACGTTCCATCTATGTTGAATTAAAAGGTATTCACATGCGAGGAAAAAAACATTAAACCCATAGTCATACAATCTTTTAAGTACATAATGTTTTTGATGGTGATGAGGACTGTTATTCTTTGCAAATTTTGATAACATTTTTCAAACAGCTTGCTTTTTTTCATTAAACCACTGGTTAACTCATTTGGAAGCACCATGAAAGGGGAGTCAGAAATGGTTGGGCAGGAATACGAGCACTGCCATTTAATGGCTAGATGTCCTTAAGCAAGTTATTTTGCCTCTCTGATCCTCAATTTCTTCAAGTTGTAGAATAAAGACAATGATAACACTTAGTTCATAGGATTTAATGTGATAATATGTATAAGGTATCCAGAATAGTACTTGATGATTGATGGGTACTTAGTAAAATGTATATTCCCTTTCTTCCATTAAGATCTCAAAATCTATTCTTACTTTTTCCAACTTACATATAAGAGAAATAAGGAATTTGCAGGATATAACTAAGGTGTGAGCAGATTGATATTACTGAGTAGGGTGTTTGACATATGTTCATGCCCAACTATATCCTCTGCTGTATCTTGAACCTGACCTTGTGCCCACTTTCATTCAGTTGCTGAAGCTTTTCATAGCAAAGCTCAAATGCTAAGCTTTCCTTTACCCTTCCACTGGAAGCACTGTCTCTTCTGCCTTCCTCTCAGAGTATGTTATCTCTCTGTTCAATGTCTTTCTCACAACATGTATCATGTTCCATTGGTATAGATTTCACCATGTTCTCGTTTCTTCCAAGTACAAGTTCCAAGCCTTCCTCCTGCATGTGTAAATTGTATTCTGTCCTTCAAAGACCCCCACCTTCTGTTTGGGGAGCACACGAATGACTGGCATCAACTCTAAAGAAAAGGGTCCACATGGCTCAGTTTAGAAAGGCTTAGCAAATCCTTGGGGCCCCAGCAGGCATGCCTTCTTCTGAATGATAAGAGTAACTACGTAAGGAAAAGTACGCATCAGACAATGATGAGAAAAGCCAATGGGTATCCTCAGTGCACACAACATGGGGCACCCTACGGGTTTTAGAGTGGCTTTCACTTTTTCTCTGTTTCTGGTGAAGGATGAGGCTTGGCAGAACCTTAATACCAACTCCATTCCCTTTTGCATTGTCCCATTGGGCCATATAACCAATTCTTTGACCACACCACATTCCTGTGAGGGTAAGCCCCATACACCTAGCCTAGGTGACCTTCATCCTGTATTCATCCCTCGTGAGTTCTTTCTTATTCTTTTTTTCCAGATCACTATTGAAGCATAAACTCTATTTTACTTCTGTCAGGGTCTTCCCTTTTGATTCTTAAGAATCTCAGCCAAACATTTTTTCCTGAAAATCAAAAGCTTTTGCTTTCAATTATTGCGTCTGATGTGGGCCTCAAGAGCTTATTTTGAAGTTGAAAAAAAATTAACGTGTTTTATTCTTTCTGTCTGCTTGAAAAATCCTGCTTCCCTGAGAATTATTTTGTGGTTACCTGCGAGTGAGAAAATGGTTACATATAAAAAAGTACAGAAAGGGAAAGTACCAAGGTTGCTATTTCAGTATATTTGACATGACTTTGCATTATTAGTATTTGCATACATCACTTCACTTCTAAAAATTGTAAACTCCTTCAAGTCATAGGTTGAAGTCATGTCTCTGTATATTCTTTCAAAGTACCCAGTCTTTTGTTTTTCATAGAGTAAGTAAATAGTAAATATTTGTCTAATTAAATTGAAAAAGCACAATACATGTGTTTTTTGTTCTGTTTTGCTTTGTTTTGGAAATCCAAGTGCAAAGCCCCTTGGAATAACTTGGGGCATAATAAGTACAAAGACACTGCAGTGTGCTAACAAATTGATCGAGATTCACAAAACAATGGTATTTTTAAAATTGAAAACATGCTGAGAATTGTATTAGCCTTGTTCGGAGGGCCACGTTATTAAAAAATTGTTAGTAGGATAGGTTACACAAATTCAAATGCTTCTCACAAACCCTGCTGGAATTCTATATTCAATCTAAATAAATTATGACTCGTTTAATTAGTTGTGCCTGTGTAGCAAATTGAAAATCACATTATGTATAAAAACCAAGAGATATTAGAGATATTAGTTGTAGATATTGCAAATAAAATTTAAAACTGCTTTGACTCTAGATGTGAATTCACTCCTTTCTCCCTCCTTACCTCCCTCCCTCCCTCCTTCCTTCCTTCTGTCCTCCTTCCTTTTCTTCCTTCCTTCTTTGTTTCCTTCCTTCCTTCCTTGTTTCCTTCCTTCCTTCCTTGTTTCCTTCCTTCCTTCCTCCTTTCCTTCCTTCCTGCCTTCCTTCCTTATTTCCTTTCTTCTTTTACTTTAATTTTATTTTATTTTGGTTGCTATTGTTTTTATTCAGGTGACAAAGGGGAAAAAGGTTTGCTTGGAATACCTGGAGAAAAAGGCAAAGCAGGTATGATATGTTCAATGTTCTCTTTGATTTCTAGCATCATTCCAAATTTATTCATCTCAAAAATAAATATATTTTAAATGAAAAGCAACAGTTCTTTTAGTATGCTTAACCTTATTTTCCTCAGGCTAGAAGAAAGGGAAGAAGGGGACTTTCCTGTCTCCCTGCTGGGGACTTTCCAAGCCCTGGGGATGGGGATGATGGCACGTTTCATCCCTGCCATGCTTACTATGAGAAGAAAGCCCAGTCTATCAGGAAGCAGCCTAATTCTTCTGGGCCAAGAGGAAAAGCTGGCACTAGGCCCTGCCTCAGCATGCCATGCCCTGCCTTTCACTAGCATCTCAACCAAATACTGGCCATCAGAGTGCAGCAGCAGCTTGACCTGATACAGACAGGCCCCTGGTTACAGTACATGCTTTCCATGACCGGGAGATTATCTAGGGTTATTCTCCTGGAGCTTTATTCCCAGTGCTTTACACAGGGAAAGAAAGATTGGTAATTTCAATTGTTTTCTATTCACAGGGCTATGGTGAAGACAATTCTAAGAACTGTTTGACGTTCTTCATATTTCATATGAATATGGATAAATAAGGCCATATTTATTCCTTTGGCTAATAAAATTATTTTTAATTTTCAAGCTACCAAAGGGAAAAAAATTGAAATGTTTATGTACAACAGCCATTAAATAGAAAAAGGGAATCATTTGAATTTTACATGAGTTTCCTTGTAATTCCCTCTCTGTCACAGCAATATTTGCTGGTTGTTGAAAAGGTAGGTGAGCAAAGAAGAATGAAAGACACATTAAAATCATAGTTAATCCACAAACTGGGCAACTGGCTTTTACAAACTTAAGTCGAATCTATTTATATGATTTAAACTTTGTCCTTGAAACATGCAAGCTGTATTTTAAATGGATAATTAGAATTAACATTTGATTTAATCATGAAAAGTTTCTTCTGTCTTGGAAAAACTGTCATCTAGTGAATAATGCAATAACACAAGAGAACACTGGCAGGAAATACGTTTCAAGAAAGTTATAAAAATTTTATTCTGAGATTGGGCAGACACATTCTGTGTTCAACAAAGAAAATGCCAAATGGTCCAAAATGTGTATGCAGTGGTTTGTTGTATGTATTCTTCTTTTTAATAATCTAGTTTAGAATTGTCTTATAATTCATTCAAAATATTTACAAAGATATATTCTGAAATTCTATCAATAATGTAAATTGGAAACCTTATTTTAAATAAAAGGTTTAAAGTATAGCCATTCACAGGTACGTAGAACCAGACTAGAAAACGATAGTGAATATTGGAAAGAGAGCAAATGTTCCTTTCCACTGGTCTGCATGTACTTCAACATGAATTCACAGTTTTTGTCATTTAAAAGGTACCGTCTGTGATTGTGGAAGATATCGGAAATTTGTTGGACAACTGGATATTAGTATTGCTCGGCTCAAGACATCTATGAAATTTGTCAAGAATGGTGAACATATTCTCTTTTGTGTTATGTATCTATTGATAAATCTCTGTCAACACTACAATTCCAATACTCTTAGGTGGAAATATCTTGGGTTGGACAAAGGGCTATTGAGATAGTGTCACCAGCTTAAGGGTCTTCCAAATTGCTAATTATCCACTAAGACTCCCCCAGGACACCTCAAGTCCACTACATATATTTATATGTATGTGCATTGCCTATGGGAAGAGAAAGACTTTCTTAGGTGAGGGAAATGGAGAAAAGAGCAGAGTGTGGCAAGCTATGCTGTAAGAATAAAAAGAGACAGTAAGAATCAGAACTAGCATCTCAGAAAACAGAGGTAATAATAACAATAGCTGCTTTCTTGAGTGCATGGAATAGTGCACAACTACTAGCATTATCTCACTGAGTTCTCATAGTTGTTTATGTAGTATGTAGATACTATGATCGAACTAAAGCTTAGAGGAAGTACCTTGCCCATGACAGACCTAATGAGCAGTAGAGTAGGAATGTATTACAAGCTTCTCTGACTCCTCTATCCACAATACAAACATTATGTGTTTATCAGTTTTGCAACTTCCAATACTGGTCATTTTTGTTATCCCTTGTCCATTTTTTAAATAGTAGTTATCAGAAAAGCCCTTGAAGTGGAAAGGGCTTATGTATTTTCTTCTGAAATAGTATTAATAAGGTAACTATTATAATTACAGTTAAAATTGGTTTCTTTTACGTATACTTTCATTTATTGTAACTCAGCTGTATTTGTTGTACATTGTTGGAATCACATAGATGCTGTCTCATGTTCATCCTCATCTTATAACACTAGAGGCAAAGGAAATACTTGATATTAACTAACCATACTAATTATAACTCTAGTTATAATGTGTACTGAAGATTCTGTCTCTGATATGACTTAAACTGTCGTGAATAAGTCAGACCATACAGGGAGAACATAGAGCAATAGTTCTGAACATTTTAGTGGTCATAGATTTCTTTATGAATTAAAGTTATGGATCCTAAAATACATATATAGAGGCCCCTGACACCCAAAACATACATGCCATATTATGAGTGAAGGGTGATTCTCAGTCTCCAGTTCTGTCCTGAAGCTAACTCAGTAGCTCAGTCTTCCTCTTGTACCTGGGATGAAATATGGACAAACCCAATTCATATACATGTTCACAGCGCAGGAATTTGGTCCAATGTGGACAAACATCTGTATTATTCCTACATCATTTGAATAAGCATTTACCATTCCTATAAGTATTCCAGGCACTAAAGCTAAAGAGTGTCAAAGACATGGTCATTGTCCTTAAGACATTCACAGGTAAGTAGGAGAGAAATGCAGACAAATGATGAGACTAAAATGTGTTGAGTGCTAGAAGGAGGAAGTGAAAGGGGCAATAGAAACATGGGGAAGAGTGACTGCCATGTCTACACAAGGGCATTGGAAAGACTTCCTATAGGGGAATACATTTCCGCTGAGATCTAAAGGATAAGTAGAAGTTTGCCAGGTAGAAAAGACTTTCTGGGCATAAAATGCATGGAAGTACAAGAGAGAAGGGTTCTGCTTGTGTGGTCACAAGTAGAGCTAAAGCATCAACAATGTTGGGAAACATAGTATGAGATGGGCTGGCTGAAAGTTCACGTAACACGTCTTTGTCAACTTTGTGCTGGCCAGGTGTGTGAAAAGTTGAAGAGAAAAGGAAGGGAGAACAAACGGTAGATATTTGTTCTCTATTTGATAACTAGAGGTGGGGGTGATTAAATCTGTGACTACCTCATAATAGGACTTTGAAAAATAATTCTTGAATATTGAATAAATAAATGTAAATCTGGCAATATCATATAATTCTATTGCCTTTTATCTTTTTGTGATACATAATGATACTCCTTTTTTTCTCTCCCTGCAGTGATAGCAGGGATTAGGGAAACTGAAGAGAAATTCTACTACATCGTGCAGGAAGAGAAGAACTACAGGGAATCCCTAACCCACTGCAGGATTCGGGGTGGAATGCTAGCCATGCCCAAGGATGAAGCTGCCAACACACTCATAGCTGACTATGTTGCCAAGAGTGGCTTCTTTCGGGTGTTCATTGGCGTGAATGACCTTGAAAGGGAGGGACAGTACGTGTTCACAGACAACACTCCACTGCAGAACTATAGCAACTGGAATGAGGGGGAACCCAGCGACCCCTATGGTCATGAGGACTGTGTGGAGATGCTGAGCTCTGGCCGATGGAATGACACAGAGTGCCATCTTACCATGTACTTTGTCTGTGAGTTCATCAAGAAGAAAAAGTAACTTCCCTCATCCTACGTATTTGCTCTTTTCCTGTGACCATCATTACAGTTACTATTATCCATCCTTTTTTTTCCTAATTATACTACATTTGATCTGAGTCAACACAGCTAGGAAATGCTAAACTAAGGTATGGAGCCTCCATCATCATGCTCTTTTGTGATGATTTTCATATTTTCACACATGGTATGTTATTGACCCAGTAGCTCACCAGGTTACATGGGTCTTGAGAGAGAATTTTAATTACTAATTGTGCACAAGATGGATGGTTGTCTAGATGTCAAATGAGTTGTTCTCTTGGTATTTGCTCTACCATTTCTCCCTAGAGCACTCTGTGTCTATCCCAGTGGATAACTGCCCAGTTTATTGGTGATGATTAGGAAGATTGTTGCTGATTAGGCTAACCTGCCCTGGCCCAAAGCCAGACATGTAGAAGGGGTTTCTGTGAGCAGTAATAAGATCTTTGAATCCAAGATGCCCAGATCTTTTACCAGTCACACCCTATGGCTATGGCCATACTTGGAAGTTTTCCTTGTTGGCACAGATAGAGAAATGCTTTAACCCCAAACCTTTATATGGGGGACTTCTAGCTTTGTGTCTTGTTTCAGACTATGTGGAATGATGAATACTGTTTTTGTGATTCTGATCTACCAATTTCACTAACATATAACAAGTAGGTGCTTTGGACCCCTTTCTGTAGGCCCACACCTTAATCTCAGGCCCCTATATAGTCACTCTCTGATTTAAGAAAAATGGAACTCTTGAAATCAAAAGAAAAAAATGGGAAATTGTTCACAAACAATATTAGATATAGTTCTCTTGCTAAATTACCCACTGCTATTAACTTAACTTCATTTTTATTTATCTTAGGTTTACCTGCCTCAATTTTATTCACCTTAGGCATGGGGTGTGAGGGAAGGAGTTTGTGAAGCCTTAAGAAAATTCTGGAAGCTTCAAAGTGCTACCAACATCATTTCCAGGCCCCATCGTCCTTGCCTCTAACATATCACTCATGGTGACATTTCATGGGAGGCCTTTTACTCTTCATAAATACATGTGCTAAAAATCCTACTGGAGATGTCCCTTCTAATATTCTGAAATCACAGAAACGTGTGAGGTACAGAATTTGGAACATGCCTAGAACTCACATTTACTGAGCTGGTAAAATTCTACCTTGAACTGTAGATCAAACCTCAAAGCAGCTTTCACTAGGAATTTAAAAATAAACAGTTCAAAGATGCTGCAGATCATCACCCTATAAACTGCTACTCCAGTTCTGGTTTGTGACATATGATTAGACTGTTTCAAATGCTGGCAAAATGGTTAATGAAATAAGAGAAACAGATCAACAACATATGTTCACCTTAAACCATCTGTTCATGATTTCACCCATGACTAACTGGTTATGAGATAGGATTTAATTAGGTTATTTCTGTGGGTTCAACAAGGGCCATAAACTCAGATCCTACAGGGGCCAGACAGATGACATATATAAATGAAGTGGAACAGGTGGGGACCCTAGTGCACTGAGCACAGCTTGCCCTTCCAAAGGAGCCAGCTGCTCCTCAGTGGCTGCTACTAGTGCTAGGAAGGACCCAATCTTGCTACATTTCAAGAGAAGTCAGAAAGCTGGGAGTTTGTAACATATGTTCATATTTTAAAATGTTGGCAACTAATTAATTTTTAACTCAAATTTTAAGTCATATGGGTTAAAAATTAAAATTAAAGATTAGAGGTCAAAAGTCTTCTAGCTAAAATTGTGATCATTTCATGTCTTCTGGAGGAAGGTTCAGAAGGTTCTAACCAAATAGAATGTCATTAGGATATGATGACATCAAAGTCAAGATATCTCATTAATACCTTACTCAATTCAGCTTAATAGGAATTTATTATATGTTTGACATTTATCAGATTACTAGTTAAACTCTTTTGAGATGATAGCACATGATATTTAAAGGCAGAAAGTTTAATGCAAATTACAAAGCAGGACATCATATCAAAGCCAGTTTCCTTGGATAGAAAGCCATCCCAGATTATGAGGAATGAAAATCTAGAAACACCTGTGGGAAAAAAATCTCATATATAAGAAGAGAGGAAGGAGAGACATGCAGCAAATGTTGCCTATGGGCAGCTTCATGTTAAGGATCCATGTTCTGATTTGTTCTAAGCTCCCAAAGTGTGAGTATTTATTGTGTGTACTGTAAGTGCTATTATTATTTACTGTGACTGTTATAATAGTTCTTTCAATGACGCATCTTTTCTGTGATGCTTCTAAGAGACGATACCAGAACTTCAACAAATAAGGTATATCCTGCAACCTTGCCTGAAATTTTGAAGACACCACAAACTTAATTAAAATTATTATGAAAACTCAAATTTGTGAAGCACTTTGTGCTTTAAAAAATGCCTTCACATATCATTTTTCATTTGATTCTGATAAACTCTGTGAAGGACGAAAAACAGTCATTTTTACTGCCACTTCCCAATGATAACACTGAGGTCCAAGGAAGCTAAGCAATTTACCAAAATCAGCTCACATATAAAAGAAATTAATGCCATTAGCCTGCCGATTGAAACGGCCAATGCAATGTCTTCTCCAATTTCTGTGCATTGCTCATGTATTGAACGGAAATTCATCCACAATGGTCTTGTTATAGCAGGGCTCAAACAACTTATCTGTACTACATTCCAAAGTTAATGATGAGGATTAATTAACAGAGATGCTGGATACAGCAACTTGCCTTACACATTTAGTGTTCACTGTTTTGTTTTTCAATTCACAAATGTCCACATAGGCATTACTATTGAGGAGGTGACTTACGGCAGCCACAGTACAATTCTGCAGATAACCATATATATAGGGCAATCAAAACAGATATATAAAAATCAATTCTGTTAATCTTTTCAAAATACCATCTCCTGGATTCCTGGACTTTTTGATGGGTTTTTCATGTCTCTATCTCCTTCAGTTCTGCTCTGATGTTAGTTATTTCTTGTCTTCTGCTAGCTTTTGAATTTGCTTGCTCTTGCTTCTCTAGTTATTTTAATTGTGATGTTAGGATGTTGATTTTAGATCTTTCCTGCTTTCTCCTGTTGGCATTTAGTTCTATAAATTTGCCTCTCAACACTGCTTTAGCTGTGTCCCAGAGATTTTGGTACGTTGTGCCTTTGTTCTCGTTGGTTTCAAAGAACTTATTTATTTCTGCCTCAGTTTTGTTAGTCACCCAGTAGTCAGTTATTCAGGAGCAGGTTGTTCAGTTTCCATGTAGTTGTGCGGTTTTGAGTGACTTTCTTAATCCTGAGTTCTAACTTGATTGCACTGTGGTCTGAGAGACTGTTTGTTATGATTTCCATTATTTTGCATTTGCTGAGGAGTGTTTTACTTCCAATTATGTGGTCAATTTTAGAGTAAGTGCAATGTGGTGCTGAGAAGAATGTATATTCTGTTGATTTGGGGTGGAGAGTTCTGTAAATGTCTATTATGTCCAATAACAAGTTCTGAAATTGAGGCAGTAATTAATAGCCTACCAACCAAAAAAATCCCAAGACTAGACAGATTCATAGCCAAATTCTACCAGAGGTACAAAGAGGAGCTGGTGCCATTCCTTCAGAAACTATTCCAAACAACAGAAAAAGAGGGACCCCTTCCTAACTCATTTTATGAAGCCAGCATCATCCTGATACCAAAACCTGGCAGAGAAACAACAATAACAAAAATTTCAGGCCAATATCCTTAATGAACATTGATGTGAAAATCCTCAATACAATATTGGCAAACCAAATTCAGCAGCACATTAGAAAGCTTATCCACCATGATCAAGTCGGCATCATACCTGGGATGCAAGGCTAGTTCAACATACACAAATCAATAAACATAATCCATCACATAAACAGAACAATAACAAAAACCACATGATTATCTCAACAGATGCAGAAAAGGCCTTTGATAAAATTCAACACCCTTTATGCTAAAAATTCTCAATAAACTATTTATTGGAGGAATGTTTCTCAAAATAATAAAGCTGTTTATGACAAACTCACAGCCAATATCATACTGAATAGGCAAAAGCTGGAACCATTCCCTTTGAAAATGGGCACAAGACAAGGATGCCCTTTCTCACCACTACTATTCAACATAGTATTGGAAGTTTGGGCCAGAGCAATCAAGCAAAAGAAAGAAATAAAAGGCATTCAAATAGGTAGAGAGGACGTCAAATTGTCTCTGTTTGCGACGACGTAATTGTACATTTAGAAAACCCGATGGTCTCAGCCCAAAATCTCCTTAAGCTGAGAAGCAACTTCAGCAAAGTCTCAGGATACAAAATCAACGTGCAAAAATCACAAGCATTGCAATACACCAATAATAGACAGAGAGCCAACTCATGAGTGAACTTCCATTCACAATTGCTACAAAGAGAATAAAATACCTAGGAATCCAACTTACAAGGGATGTGAAGGACTTCTTCAAGCAGAACTACAAACCACTGCTCAAGGAAATCAGAGAGGACACAAACAAATGGAAAAACATTCCATGCTCGTGGATAGGAAGAATCAATATCGTGAAAGTGGCCATACTGCCCAAAGTAACTTATAGATTCAATGCTATTCCCATCAAGCTACCACTGACTTTCTTCACATTGGAAAAAAGCTACTTTAAAGTTCATATGGAACCAAAAAATAGCCCGTATAACCAAGAAAATCCTAAGTAAAAAGGAAAAAACTGGAGGCATCACGCTACCTGAATTCAAACTATTCTACAAACCTCCAGTAACCAAAACAGCATGGTATTTGTACCAAAACAAATATATAGACTAATGGAACAGAACAAAGGCCTCAGAAATAATGCTACACATCTACAACCATCTGATCTTTGACAAACCTGACAGAAACAAGCAATGGGGAAAGGATTCTCTATTTTAAACATGGTGTTGGGAAAACTGGTTAGCCATATGCAAAAAAATAAAATTGGACCCCTTCCTTACACCTTATACAAAAATTAACTCAAAATGGATTAAAGACTTTAATGTAAACCTAACACCATAAAAACCCTACAAGAAAACCTAGGCGATACCATTCAAGACATAGGCATGGGCAAAGACTTTATGACTAAAACACCAAAAGTAAT